AAGAAAATTCGCAAAAGGTGTCTGAATAATCATGGGTTCAGATTCCGACTCGTAAAGCGGTTAATAAGGATTCGCTTTTTATTCTAAGCTCAAACCAGGAGAGGGCCAGTGGATGACGAACAGCAAGCATAAATGTGATCGGTACCCGCTTCTCCAGGTTATTGTACAGTCATACAAAAGAATCGAGAAGGACCAATGCGTACTACCCCTGAACACAACGATCGGTGCAGGATTGTTCCAAGCCTGATTGGGGGCCCGGGCAATGCTTTGTGACCCTCGTTAGCTTATCAACATTTGACCTTTTTTTTTTCTACCGACATTTACATACAAATTAAACTAAACAAAACTATTAAAGGATGAAAATTTTTCATGATTTTGACGTCATTTGGGGGGGGGGCGTTTAAATCTGTGAATTTGTTTTGCTCATGCTAAGTCTTCATAAACACAATATAAAATTCATTATTTTTTCCTTCCTCATATTGAATGTGTTAAAATTATTCAACTTTTTAACAAGAAAAATCTCAAGTTGATATTAAAAATTGCCACAAAACCTTGTTAATTTATTTCAGATGGAATAATTTAATATGACATAATTTGTATTTAGATACATTGTATTTATTTTCAGATTTCTAGTTGAATTGTTCCCCTACATTGCATATGATCCATTATTGCACATAATAAGGTTACAATAAAATTAGTATTTTATCTGAATAATACCTTTATGAAAATTGAATGTAATAGAGTAGGGACCCTGTATCATGGGTTCAGGCATGAGGCATGAAACCCTTGCATTGGCTCTGTTTGTACTGATCAATTATTCCTTGCCCAATTTTCTTTGAGTCCAAGTACAGATGTTAATAAATTTCACTTTGATGTTAAAAAAATCACAAGGTGGTATTTTGCTGCCAAACATTGTTGATTTATTTAAGATAGAATGATCCATTATGACATGTCTCTAATTTAGTTTTAGATACATTGTATTTATTTTCATTTTTTCTGGATATTTTTTCTTCTTTTTTATGCTGTAGTTCACTATGCAATACAAGCCGAGAGCCACTCGAGTAAGAGGCAGTTTATGCAGGATGGGAGGAAACATAACGGGTGTCGGTTCCCCAGAGCAGTAGTTCTTTGGGAGAAGCTAGTCGAATAGAACCTCTCGTCAATGGAATACGTAGATAATGTGGGTGGTTTGTTAAAAAGGGCGTGGCATGGTGGGGTCCTAGCTTGACGGAACCAAGTAATGTAGTTCAGCCCGAGCGCTTTCCATGGAAGTAGTGATAAAAGAGTGAGAGGCTTGCTTCATCTCGTCTGTTAGAGAGGTTGAAGGGTGAAAAATTATTTGCCACTCACAAGGACCCCGAGACGCTTTTCGACTCCATCGAGGCTAGAAATTGAGGGCTATTGCCCAAATATGACAAAAGTGCTCCATTTTAGACCTGATCTGGATCTTGTAAAGGTGGAGGATAGAACGAAGAGTCAGTTACTTGCAGGAGATCTACAGGAACCGATCATTTTCTTGCATCTTAATGTTACTGGGGAAGGTCGGAGCGTACAACGGCCGAAACGTTGTGACAAATATGGCGACAAAGATGAGGACAATAGTCCGACTAATGTAAATTCATTTTTCCAATTAAAAGTATTGTTGCTTTGTGGAACTGAAGCTTTATTAACTAATGAAATCATTTTTTTTTAATTAAATTGGTCAAATTTGTTATAGAATCATTTGAAAGCTGTTCTAAGTAAATATAATATTTTCCAAAAATATTCCTAAGACAATATTGTCTTTAATAAATCTGCTTATAGCAAATGAAACAGAATCTCACGCTAAAATGTAATTTATCAATAATTCATGAAATTAAGTGATTTTCTAAAAAAAGAAAAAAAAAAGTAATAAAACAAAGTTGAAGAAACGAAAAATATCCTTTTTATTTTGAATTTTAAAATTCGTGCATTCATTTTAAGTAATCAAAAAAAAGTGAGCTTCCGCGCATGATTGTTCGAGGCAAACGCATGTAAACAAAGCCAGTAATGGCGGTCGTTCTGTCTTTGAAGAAAAGAAGTCGAACTTACATTGTCCATAACTTAAACGATAATATAATGCTATATTTTAATATCATTTTCGAAGTAATCAGGCAATTTCACACCAGAATGGTACATTTTCATTACTGGGGGCTTTTTGGTGCCTATGTTGCAAATTAACCGATTCTTCTTAGTATTTCATTAAAAATGTCTAAATATATAGTACCAAATTAGACGTGATAGCAATATTCAGTGGATGAACGAATGGTAGACTTATAAATATATAAGATAGGAGATTCTTTTGACAAAATTGTCTAACATGACACAGGAACCAGCTTTCCTAGCAGTAGCCCTAGCAATAGATTCAATATAATTGTTGTGGATTCCGGTTTGAAATCCGGTACCAATAAATAACAAACGGCAGGAATGAATATATGAAAATAATGTATTAACGTAATAATACAAACTGGTAAAAAACAGA